ATTTGTGTACATTTTTTGCAGAAGAGTTGATTTATCATCAGGCATATAATGCATTTTAAAGCACCCAACTGATTTCCATTGCTTGCAAGTGCATATCTCATCATGATTATTTGGTTCTGAAACAGATTACCATTATTTAAAAACATTTGAGAGTAACTAAATTAAAAAATTTTAAAACAGTGATACCAGCTATAAGGTTCCTGAAGTCAGCAGGTATTTCATTAGATATCTGAATCATTTTTAAGAAATGTTCCCCTTTCTTTCAGATGTTAAGCAACATTTTTCTAAGAACTCTTCATAAACCACTCCAGCAAACTGAATAGATCATCATGCAGAGAGTGTGGTTATAGAACTATGTTACAACTGCTATTCCAGTTGGTAGTTGATAAACACCATAGTTCATGAGAGAACTTCACTGGCCTTTTGTATATGTGACCCCTTACCCATTCCTCAGATGGATGAAACTGTATAAATTAAAGCAATGACCAAAAAATCAATGCAAATTATTCCACAAAAACTACCAGTTAAGATGTGCAACAGAAAAATATTTCTAATCTATTTTTTTGGTGGGGGGAGGGAGTGAAGTAGAGAGCAATGTAGAAACCCATGATTGCCATAACTTATACTACCACGGTTGCTTCTGTTGAAACTTTTACAAATGTCAATACACTAATGTTATGTCATTACTTAAATTATAGCAATTTCCAGGGAACTAGTAAAACTAAGATTTCTCTTTTATGTTTATAACTCTGTAATATTTGAACATTTTGAATTGAGTAGGGTTCCTGCCTATGGTTTTCCCATTAAAGCCTCAAAATGCTCAAATAGCAAAATTATTATTAGTAAATCTGATGCTCCTCTGGATTTCAAACAAGCTATTAAATACATGTCCAATGTATTATTTAACCAGTAAGGATTTTATCAAAACATCAGCCCATTACAAAAAGGTGACTGAAAAATTAATAAAACATAATAAGAAAATAATGGTTTTTGGTTTACTGTCTGTTCCCCTATTTACTTTCAAAGAATTAAGACTAAACACATCATGCTAACAGCCAAGACTAGGATCAATTATTGTTCACTATTTTTTCAGCTGTATCAGAACTTTTTTATTTTTAATTCTTCCTCAACATAATGTAATCTCATTATTCTTTCAAGAGCTAGAATACTGACACATCCTAAAGGTTTTTAAATGAATTATTTTATATTCATTTTAAACCCAAGTAGACTACTTCAAGTTTACTTTTGTTCTTATCATAATCAATGTTTAAAAGCACTGGAAACTAAGCTCATTAAAACTGCAAGTATTTTGTTTGCAATGTACTTTTCACTGTTCCTTTAAAAAGGCAATTTTTAACTAGTGAAGTATTGTATAATCAAGACAATATAGTTTCCTGGAAACTCAGTCTTGGAGTTTTTAATTCTAGCAGCAAAACACAAAGCAGAAAAATAAAAATGAAAGGTAAAAAAAGTTAGTTTATAAACATTTCTCCAATATTGCCTTTTAAGTTATGCCACAATTAGTTACTGTGAAACATTTTTGCAGTAAATTAAAGGCATCCAACATGTTCAAATTTATTTTAAAGTTTTAATGTACAACTACACAATAGTGTACTTAATGATTCCGTGGTCCTTTATTTGCTTTTCTTTTTCTTTTTGGGGGGGGGAAGAGGGGGAATCACAGTGAGATTTTCATCAACTGCACCCAGCCAACAACTTATAGGAGCATTACAGGAACAAGAGTTCTGCACGGAGGTACATTTCCTTTGAGCAGATGAACCATTTAAGAGAGGAGTTCATTTAGTCACTTGTTGCTGAATATGCAAAAGAAATTCATAATATGATAATGCAGATTCTGTTCTGTCTTCTATCATGTTTTGTAGGAAACTTGGTTTCCACGGACTCTCATCCCTTCAAAATACAAACAGAAGGCCACATAAGTACATGCTCATATGCTTTATTCCTTATAAAACTATTCATCATGGTGACTGACTAATGATCACATTTATTTAACATTTATAGTATGCATAGAATTAATGTGCAATATCTATATAAAAAGTATATAAATTTGTCTATTTTAAAACTACCAGTCCTGCAAATAACTATTAATGATTTTATAATTCTTCCATTTATATATCTTCACTCCCCTGTCTTTTTTTTCTTTTTTGCACTGAATATGCTTTCTTTCTCTGCAGAAAAGTGTCTTGTTATACCAGGGCATGAACTTAGGGAAGTCTGCAACTTAAGATGTTTACATGCATGCAATTGTTAGTATTCCAGAAAGACAATCATGCAAAGTTTTGTTCACTCTAACAAATTTCACAAGCATACTACTTACTTTAGAATATACAATATAGGAAAGAAAGGCCTTTGCTCCCTTAGCCAGAAAATAAAAGCAAGCACTCTAGACGATTCAGCTGTGTCCAATTCTGGAAGATGTGTCTGTCAAAGCAAACAAAAATGGGGGTAATCATGGGACAAACAACATTATAAAATGTATTCTGTATTCAGAATACTGAGCAGTGTATCCTTCATGGACTGACTCTAACTTCACTAACCTCTCTCTGAAAGAAGATACTTTTTTCTCTTTATTTTGGAACAAAACAAAGTAAAGCTTTTTCCTGATGTTTTTCCTCAGAGCACTGCAACAACACTTAAGTAAATTTAAGATACAGGTAGTCCTTGACTTACAACTACTCGTTCAGTGACCATTCAAAGTTACAATGGCGCTGAACAAGGGGGACTTATGACGGGTCCTCGGAGTTCTGGCTGTTACAGCATCCCGCAGACATATGATTGCAATTTACAACGTTTCCTGCTGGCTTCCCATGAGCAAAGTCAATGGGAAAGCTGGCAGAAAGTTGGAAGTCACAATCTCATGAGGTTCTTGCTTAATGACAGTAACTAAGACTGCCAGAATTGCCATTGCTAGGCAGTGTGGTCACAAGACATTGCGCTTTATGACCAGGTTGCTTACCAACAGCAATTCTGGTCGTAAGCCGAGGACTACCTGTACAGAAAACCTTTAATGTAACAGATTAAGGGGGAAAGGAGTTTCCATTAAAGCAGAAGATCTGTTCATTCTGAATGTAATTTTATGCATACATAAAATGGGAATGGAATTTTATGCATGTGTATTTTATGTATTTTTACATACATAACATGGCAAATGGGATCTTACACATGGACAGAAGCATCTAGTGCACAAACTGTTTATTTAATGATAATGTTTTTTGGAAATTCAGTTTAGTTCTTCTAAATAATAAGGTGTAAATTCAGGCATTCATAAGGGGTATCTAAAGGCCAAACTCACAAAAACTCTCTGTAGGTCTAGTCTAAAAAGCACTACAGTTTGCACAACTGGTATTTTGTTGGCCATGTCTTAATCATTCTTGTAGTTCTAAGGAGCCACACTACCTCAAGAATAGAGGTAGGTAACTTGATTCTGACTGATACCTCATCTTAAATTTCTTGAGTCAAGTTCAACTCTTGATAACTACATTCCTGTTGTTTTCTTCGCAACAATATGGAAATGGCTTGTTCTTACCTTCTGGCTTTTTTTTTTTTTTAACTTCCAGACTACTCTACAGTCTACTTTAGTATTTCATGGTGATCTCCCATCCATCCATATATTAGGTCTGACCGTATTTAGCTTTTTCAAGTCCAAGTTGACTAGATGCTGCCATCTGCTATAAAGGTTTTGTTCTACAACTCTGTAAATCCTTAACCATTACCATTGGCTGGGCTTGATTAAAGTTGCAGTCCAAAACTATGAAGGATTCAGGTTGTCTATCCTTGCTGTGAGTTATGTTCTTACCATATTATGTGGTACAGATGCATAGTTTGGGGCTCCAAGGACATGGCTTATAAAGTTCTGTCCACAATTCTTTCCAACCCATAAGAACATGACCTGTATATTCAAACACACAAATAATGTATGCATTAGATCTTCACCTCAACCAGGCTGACAAATTACTGCTATGAAGTTTTATGGAGAATGAGATACCTTCTGCTAATGCTCATAGTAAAAATCCTACTTACAGAGCCAGCATCCATAAGATAAGCCCCATCCCGGTTTAGCTTCTCGACAGACAGCTGAAGAATGGGTGGCTGAGGTATTGTTCTGTCACCAATGTTGAGGGCCCCCTAAATAGATGAAATCATTTCTAACAGGCAGATAAAACAGCAGATCTTATATATTATAAAAATGGGTTGCCATATCCTGACTGATACCAAGACTAAACTATATGTTTATAACATAGAGAAAAATAATTCTCCAACCTTATTTTTTAAACAGTTGTTAATGTTTCCAGACAGGGTGGTTTGCAAATTGTACACAATTTCTGTTCATTGCACTATATGAGTGTTTACATTTGCAGGGACCATCTTAGTTGTTTCTTGAAAGAATCTCAAATTTAACAATGTTTAGTTTACATTTACTAACACCATTTCATGTGTTAAAATACAGGAATTTACACCATTCAAATTTAGTTCTTTCATACCTATTTGTAATATCAGGTATTCTGCTTGCAAGTTCCCAATCTTAATATCCTTTGCAATTTACACATCATAATTCAATACCTGAATCTCCACTCATTTGGTTTTAAAAATACACTAAAACAATGGTTTTGATGGCTAAATATTTTGCATATCAAGCATAAAATTAGGCAACTACATATAAAGATGGAAACAGCTTATAAAACTTCTGGTCCATACCATATGACAATGTACACATGCCAACTGCCAATCCTATACATGGATGTCATAATTTGTACAAGTGGATTTTAAAAGCTGACAGTTGAATCTCCATCTTCTTCTCAAGGTCTGTCATCAGTGGTACCTTTACCCATCTTGTCAAGCTATTTTATTTATTTTATTTATTAAATCAATTTATATAGGCGCCCATCTCACCACAGGCAACTCTGGGTGGCATACAACAAAGCTAAAAACAGTAAAATATATGAAAAATATATAAAACGAAATAAAACAGAGAATATTGGTCTATTGGTCCCTATTTGCAAAGTTCTGGACTGTCAATATACACATAGGTAAGTCATACTCAAGGCTAGATAGGGAGAAGGAAAGTCTTCCTTGAGGCCTGGAAAATGAAAGACTGACAGAGAATATCCTAGAAAACTGCTCCCTGTATCTGAAAAGCACGCAAATGCATGCCTTCATTATAAAACATGCACAAAAGCCAAATGTTTTTGGCACACTTATGTATAATATCTGAAGTTGGGAAGATACATTCAGTGGTTCCCAGACATATTTAGATGAAAATCTTACCTCATCTGTGAGATTGTCAATTCTGTACAGACTGGGATGCATAATAAGCATGAGGTACACTAATGGCTGGCTTTTCACTTGACACATTGTAAAGATGCGTTCATCTAAACGGGTATTTGTCCCAGTTTGGAATGCTTTCTGTAAGCAAAAGCAGCAGCAGGGCAATAAGACAACTTAGAGTGACACACATTTCAAGACCTATAAATTTCAGCCATACATTTTATATCTGATATATACAGGAAGTCTGGAAGCTTATTCTCAATTCAGAATAGTTTTTCTGAATTTGTTGCTGCATATAGGCATCTGAAAAAATGATTAAATATGACACTATAAGTGATCATTAATTTTACCAAAATTTACTTAGACAACTTAGTTACTCAGGCAATTTCTATTTTCATTCTTACCTGTTTTAAGAGAGCCAGGATGAACAATGGAAACAGACGCAATGATGCAGGAGCCGTAAGACCTGGTTGCTGAATGGTTAGGACAGAGGAGCGGTATGCAGAAAGGGAATCTATTACAGCATTCACCAATGCATCTCGGGCATCGCTCAAACTAGCAGAAACTGACCGGTCAACAGCTGAAAAAACAAAACCAGAACATAGTGCACTTGGGTGTCAAGAAGATGTTCATAATAAAAAGTGTCTCAATGGATGCTTAAATCTCTCTCACACACACACACACGCCCAGGCACACACACCCTACTTACCAAAAAAAGTACAAAGCAATAATGCATAGTATATGTAGCCCTTCATGCTGTGACACATTTTCCAGCCATTTAGATATATTTTGCAAAACGCAGTTATGCATTCTAGATTAATCTCAACCAGAACATTCATCACCACTTATATTTTAAACAGTGTACAATGATAGTATCAATTGATCAAACAATGTTTTGTAGTTCAATCCAACAATTCAGCACATACCCATATTGGCTAAAAGGCCTGTAATAGCTTGTACATCAGCTCCTAAATAAACATCACTCAACTGGCTTACAACCGGTAAACACAGTGTGTGGACACGAATTCTTCTTTCACCTGTTAAAAAAAGTTGTTTTTAATAGCATTTAAAATAAGCTCAGGTTATGCTTCGAAAACTACAATAAATTATTTCAATTGCAGTCATGGAGTGAAGTAGCTTATTCAGAGTCATTCATCTTACAAATTTAAATACAGGTTGCTGTTTTCTAACCAAATTTGTGTGAAAGACATTTTACCTCCCGCTATCTTCAAGTTCTATTTAACAGTAAAAGTCATGGGCATCTGCCGACAACCTATAGATCTATATATATCATGAAAGTGGCAAAAGTCTAAAGGCTTTAATAACAACCCTTTTTTGTTATTAAAAATGTGGAGATATAGGACCTTGAAGCATACACTGGATGCCATGACCCACTTACCTTTACTAGATGTATACAGGAGGGCTGACTGAAAACAGACCACCTGCATATCTGTCAAATTCTCCTCCACTGACATTTGTACAGCATATCCTGCATCAGGGTTCACATTAGGTAGAGACAACAGATCTGTTGACCGTACAAAGAAGTTGCCATGGAAGGTATGAATTGAAAGGCCTGTGTGGAAGAAAAAAAACATTTAAAACAGCATTCCTAAAAATGTGATTTTTTAAATTGCACACAAACTGGGGCTATATTCAGATCTTTATGCTGATAATTACTTCAATGCACATAAAGCACCAGCAAAAACATTATGACTAAATTTAAAAGCCTACTAGTATTCACTCTTTATCTTCAACAGATGTGCTTTAAGCACGGTTACTAAGCATTTCTACAAGGTACCATGCTCCATTAAAAACACCAAAGCATAAGCAATGTGTGGAAAATGAAATTTTTGTATGGCAAATACCCCATTGTCATAAAACTTTTGTAGTATTCTCAATATAGTGAGGAACAGTATTTCTTTGTGCATACAGAGAGGATTTTAACACATACAAAGGGCAATCTAAATGCAGGTATTCACTCTTTATCTTCAACAGATGTGCTTTAAGCACGGTTACTAAGCATTTCTACAAGGTACCATGCTCCATTAAAAACACCAAAGCATAAGCAATGTGTGGAAAATGAAATTTTTGTATGGCAAATACCCCATTGTCATAAAACTTTTGTAGTATTCTCAATATAGTGAGGAACAGTATTTCTTTGTGCATACAGAGAGGATTTTATCACATACAAAGGGCAATCTAAATGCAGCCAGTGTCTCTTGAAATGCTTAAGTTGATTAAAATATTCTGATTCTTAAAGGAAGAGTTATGCAAATACTTTACTAGCATTACCATTATACATCTGTTGTTTTTTCAAAAGTAACACCAACAACTGAACTGAACAGAAATCAAAATATATATCTTCTTACAGTAAAGAAGTAATGTAAACCTATTTTGAGTCAGGAAAATACTTGAAAACTGTGGTTAAAATAGGCTTAAATTTAGAAAAATCACAACATTCATTAATGCAAAAGCTAGCCCATCCATGTGTGCTGCTCATTTTACCTGTTGACTCAAGCTGTCTTCCTCCCCTCAAACCCCAAATTTAGCTACCAACCACCAACAATCTATCCTTTTGCCAAATAAAAACATCCAGGGGATAAATGGACCTTTGCATTTACACTGCATTCTTTAAGGATCTTCCTTGAAGCACTGATCTACTGTGACAGGCAGACTAGATTCTCCAAAGACCTGAGCCAATTTATTTAAGGAGCAAAATAGCAATCTCAAGAAAAAGGGGGAAAAGAGAGAGCTGCCTCTATTGTAACCATCCATTTTTTTAAAAAGGCCTTGCCTCCTAGTGAACAGGACGCCAACAGTAATATATTCCCATGATCTTTGAGATAACAACATTAGGGGATTTACATACATGGAAATAGCCATGACTGATTATACAATAGCTTTCATAACATTCCATTACAACTCTTTCTTAAAAGTTAATTAATTAACTGTGAAGTAAGAGTAGTAACTTATGCAATGCTGAATATCAGACATCATTTGTTAGAATTCCAAATTCAGGCTACTTAGAATTTAAAATGTTTATATACACATTTGTCAATCACTCATTTAGCAGTTATGACCACAATGCTTTGATTAACACTGGCATATTAAGCTGTCTAACCTTTGGTACATCTTATCCGCATGACAGCCTCAAAGCCAATCTTTCTAGTTAAGTATCGTTTCAGTTCTTTCTGTAATTTCTCCACCAGAAGAGAATTGTGTTGATGATGGTAAGCTTGATAATAATAGACACTACCAGCAGAATACCTTGATATACATCCTAAAAAGAAAAAAAGTAAACAAACTTATTTTACTTTTGGAATTAGAGAAATGCAATATGCAAAGAATTGCATTGTTTTCCAGTAAGAACAGGAACAGCTTCACGAATAAAAGAAGGATAAGCAAATATATAGCTCTCTCTCTCTAAACATGCACATCTTTCAAGTGCTAGGCACACTCCTGAAATGGAACACATTTTTCCCCAAAGAACAGATTTTTAAAAATGATGAACGGAAGATAGCATCAAGTACATTATTAAATTTATTGCTACGTGCTTTGATTGTAACGTTTTAGTTTTTACAATTTAAGAACTATTATTGTAAAATCAAAGTTCATTACTCCATTTTACAATAACACATCAGAAAATACTTTGCCTTTATTAATTAAACAGGAAAAAAAGAGAGCAACCCAGTAAAACAGGACTTCTCATGCGTATATATGAAGTTTTATACAACAGTTCCAATGAAGGATGACCATATTTTGCTATAATCATCCGTACATAATCTACATCTTTTAAGCAACACATTCCTAAGTTGGGAGCGACAAGAATGTCTTACCTAATGAAGCCAGGTCAGAGTACTGCCCACTAAGAAGGAACAAGTCAACTGCAACCTGCTGTCCTGAGCAATCCAAGGCCAATTTTTTGTAGAAATCAGTAGATGGTGTCAGATGTATATCCTGGTAAAAGACAAAATATGTACCTTGAAGGGGTGCTTCACTCATGTTGGTGCCACCAGCAAAGCAACATTCCTTGAAGCACTGAAGCAGCTGCATCCTCCCAAAGGTTTAGCACAGCCTCTTTGTGCTAAATTGTCTCCATATGCATATGTGTGCACTGAAGATGCTTCCACCAGCAGTGCTGTCAAAGTAATGGGAAGTTCCAGCTGGGTGGGTGGTTGAGAAGTGGTGCTTTGCTCACAGCCTTATTGTAAAGACAGCATTATTCCAAATAATTTGCACTGGCCTATTGCCCAATATAAAAAATGTTAGTAATGTTCAAACTGAAGCAAGGATTTTATTACAAAATGGACTGAGTGGGTTTCCTAAGAGTCAGAATTAGAATTGAAAGAGACCATTTAGGCATTAAGCCCAACGGCCTGCTCAGTGTAGCAAATGAAATTAAAGCATCCACAACAGCCTATACTTCTATACATCCAGTTAAGGGAAGTTCAAGAGCCAGTTTGGTGTTGTGGTTGAGGCACCAGGCCAGAACCTGGGAGACCATGAGTTCTAGTCCTGCCTAAGACACAAAGCCAGCTGGGTGACCTTGGGCCAGTCTCTCTCCCTCAGCCCTAGGAAGAAGGCTGCAATGGCAAGCCACTTCCAAAATCTTGCCAAGAAAACTGCAGGGACTTATCCATGCAGTCACCAGAAGTCAAGACTGACTTGAAGGCACACACACAAAAAAAGAATTCACCACCTGCCTCGCAATAAATTCTACAGTTGAGTTACTCTACTGTTAGGGAGTTTTTTTCTAATATGAAGTCCGACTCTGCCTTCCTACAACTTATAGTTCTGTGTCTTGCACTCTGTAGTGATACAGAACATATTCTATGCATTATCCTTTCAGATATCTGAACAGTGGTATTGTATCTCCCCTTAGTCTTTTTTCCTCAAGGCTAAATATGCCTAGTCCCTTCAAATGTCTCTTCATAAAACAGTTTCTGCTCTGCTGATCATCCTCATTGCCTTGTTTTGAACCTGTTCCAGTTTCTCTGAATCATTCTTAAATTGTAGTACTCAGAACTCTACCCAGGACTCAGTGCTAAGTCTGACCAAAGCAGAATAAAGAAGAACTATTAGTTTCCTGTGGTTTGGAAGCTATGCTTCTCCTGATACATTTGCATTTTTGCAGCCACGTCACACTGCTGACTAGAATTATTTTTAGAAGGAACCATTACAATAAAAAACATTTATTTTAAGAGTCACTTAAAAATCAGGCATAAGATTGTGTTGCTAACCTTTGCAGATGCTTTTTGGTTAGGCTCTTCCCGAGGTTTGAGTGCACCTGCTCCTAAAGATGGAAGCTGTGTTTGGAAGACGGTAATCCGACCCCCAGTAGGTGACATAAGTTTAAAGGCAGCCTGTAGTGCAGGTCCCAAAGCACTTTGGGTTTCCAAAGAGTTAATAAACATCTGAGGCAAAGTTCTCAATAAATCCTGAATCAGCTGAAAAAAAACAAAATCCCATCCTTTTTTATTTGCTATATTGATTAATTTTTTATACTGTCCAATAATTGAAGCTTACTCTGCAGCTTAAAAAAATAAAACCCAAATAAAATCAATAGCAGTACTAGGTGAAAAATCTTTGCTTGGTAGTGAAAAGACCAGAATATATGTGCCAGTCCATCTTCTCTGGAAATACCACTCCATAATCAGGGTTTCTCCAAAGAAGAGACCTTAAATTAGTCATTCGGTTGATTGGTTTATTTTTATTATTTGAAGAATTTATAATAGCATCATCTCATCTGATAGAGCAACTGAAAGCTTCAGATGTTGACTTTAAGTTCCAAGCTTAGCAGTATGAATAACAACAATTGATCAGATGTTTAGAGCTTTAAACTTAATTATACAACGGGTGAGAGTGTGGGTAACGAGGAATCAGTAGATCAGTAGTTGGTCTCTGGCTGTGCCAGTCTGGTGTAGATGACTCAGGCCCAGTCTTGTCTAGTTACCTGAGAGGAGTTTGATCAGATGGCTCTTGAGAAGTGGACAGGGTCCTTGGGACTCGGAGTTCTGCCAGATCCATGTTTCTCCTTGTTAGTCAAGGCATCCAGGAGGTGACATGCAGCTGGGTCCAAACAGCAGTGAATGACTGTCCACGGGAGGGAACACTCCAGCCTGCCTTGAAGGAGGCAGTGGTTCGCCCCCTCCTCAGAAGGTCAATTTCCACCCAGTCTCCAACTTTATTTGAAAGGTTGTGGCTCCAAAGGACTGTAGAGGAAGTAGATTATCTGGACCTACTGCAGTCAGCTTCCAGTTTGGGATACAGCACTGAAATGGCATTGATCGCATTTGTGGATGACACCTGGCAGTCTTGGGATGGAATACTATATCCATTCTCGCTTTTCTTGAACTCCAAATTGCTTTCAATACCATTGATCATGGTATCCTTCTGGGCTAGCTGAGGGTTGGAAGCTGGGACATAATCTTTTGGTGGTTCTCTTACCTGTAGGGCTAGTTCTATCTGATGTGGGGGGGGGGGGGAGTTCTAGCCTTAGGCCCATGTTTTGTGGGCTGCCACAGGGTTCAATTCTCTGTTATTTAACATGTATATGAAACTGGTGACTCGAGGTCATCCATTGGCATGGGGTTAAGTATCATAAACATGCTGTGCTTTCGGCCATCCAAGTGATGCCATGAATGTGCCTTCCCAGTGCCTGGAGGATGTGTGGGTATGAATGCGGAAGGACTAGCCTTGGCTCAACCATGACAAGGACTGAATGGCTGTGGGTTTTAGGGTCTTCCATATCTAGTGACCATATCTAGTAACTCTGGGTGGGTTTACTCTTTCAGGTAGAGCTGATGTACAATCTGGGGGGTGCAGCCATGGCCAAGAAGGCCTCCACACAATTACATCTTGTGTGCCAGTTGCGCCCATTCCTAGATAGGGAGGCACTGCTCATGGTCACTCATGCCTTAGTCACCTCCTGATTAGACTATTACAACATGTTCTACGTGAGGCTGCTCTTGAAGAGTGTTCAGAAGCTTCACCTGGTCCAGAATAAGGTGGTACAAGCAATATTGGGCGCTTCACAGTATGCCTATGTAACACTGCTGCTACATGAACTGAACTTCCAAGTGCAATTCAGGGTGTCACCTTTAAAGCCCTACATGGCATGGGGCCAGGTTACTTGCAGGACTGCCCTTTCCTAATAGTTTATGCCTGTCTCATGAGATCAGGTGGGGTGGGGGCATACTCCAGGTCCCATCGGTGAAGCAGTATCCCTTGGTAAGTCCTAGGAAGCATGCTTTCTCTGTCATGGTGCCTACCTTATAGAACAGCCTCCCTACTGAGATATGGACAGCCTCTACCATACTGGCCTTCCAGAAGGCTGTGAAAATTCAGCTATTCTCCCAAGCACTGGGGCCATGTTGTTGATGGAGCTCTGGTGTAGGAGCGGGTACACGCGATGCTTGGATATGGAGATTTTGTCAGGGGCTCTGACTTAGTTTTCTTTTCATTATTTGTGAAGAGGTTTCTGTTTTCATTTTGTTTGCCACCAGAGTTCCTTTGATAGATGGGCAGCCATACAATTTTTAAAAATAAATAAATAACCCACCATCATTTGAGTCAGGCATGCATATGCCCAAGGGTAACATAGTATAGGAGCACTTGAATACCCATGTTAAGCTAGCGGCAATCATAAATTAACAGGGGCAAGACAACTTTTGATGGGATGGATACTTAAGCACCTGCTTATATTTATTGAACTATCTGGCTGCTCTTGGCAGCAGTAACTTTAGCGCACTATCAGGGGGAAATGAGGTATCATATGTTGGCTCAGACAGTAGTGCTAAATGCTCCCTTTTGCACTATGTGAGCAATCTAGGGAGGAATCCACTCCTATTTTGGGCAGTCAGGGCCAAAATCCAACCAGCGCTATGTTTCTTGTCCAGCAACCAAGTGAGAGGTTGCCCAAGACAACTGATGTGGTAACACTCCATCGCTAGATGTCAACTCGAAGGAACAATTTGTCTTCCTCGAGATGAGCTTTATGACTTGTCACCAGAGGAAGTCTGAGGACTAACCTCTCCTCTCACTCTTCAGACTGCTGGCTGCCATTTGTCCCAAGATCAGGCATCAAACATTTTAAATGAAGCTGTTTTGTTTTACATTTTAGTACATAGGATAGGCAAAATAATATCTTAAAGTCAACTGCTTAAAATACAATTTTGTTTATACTTACACTGTATTATTCCTCTTACCTCTTTGCTTTCGTTTAAATTTACTAATAAGTTCTCTGGCATGGGTATAAACACTTCTGCAAGATAGATAACAAAAATACTGAATCACTTTGAGTATATATTATTTATTTTATTATTAGATTTATATCCTGCTTTTATGTGGACAACTCAAGGCAGCATACATAATGCCCTAACCTATTTTCTCTATAGCACAACCCTCTGAAGTGAGTTGGGCAGAGAGAGAGTGACTACTCCAAAGTCACCCAGCCATCTTTCATGCCACCTGTAATTAGAACTCAGTCTCCCAATTTCTAGTTCAGAACCTTAACTACTACATCAAAATGGCTAAATATAAAAATATTTACTCTTTATCATTTGCATAGTATGTTATCCATAGTGGCAACCATCCAAAGTTGCCTAGGAGATTATGAACTCCTTTTCAGCAGCAATCACCATGACAAATAGTGCCCAGTCTAGCATGTGGTTTACAATGGGACTTCTTCAGATATATCTGTTGAAGATAACCCTAGATACCTGTCACTTTATCAAGTTCTTATACACATAGGAGATATGTGTGCAGAGAAATAGGAATTTATACTTCTTGTGATGTTTTGGTTTACAGGCATAAAATTTTCAACTTATCCTTTAGTCAAAGGCAAAACAAAAAAAGTTTTTCCTATATTCAGGATATAAGAGAAAGAAAAAATCTCAAGGCCTACAACTGATAGATAATCTGATAGGACTGTGCAATAATTCAGATTAGATTCCAAAAAAGTGCTTTGAAGCATGTGAAGGCATGGATGTTGCTCCCCTTGCAATTATTTACAGTAGCTGTGTCTGCAACTGCTACATTCATAGCCCCCATTTTCCAAAGCACCTTTTTGGAACTGAATCCAAAGCATTGTACAGTCCTAAAAGATGGTGACCTCTACATATTTTGCATTTTTGGTTTTGTCAACCACAGCAAGCATATTTAATGGAAAGAAACTGTGCAAGTTGTAATTTAAAACACCTGAAAAGGACTAGAAGGCCTACCTCTAACCTAAAGTGTATCAGCCAAATTTTTATCTGAAGTGGGCAATGAACGAAAGTAGCATTTCTGTGGATTTCTGTACTATGCTGTACTAGATGTGAAACCGTGTTAAATAGGGTATGTTTTTCACCTCAATCTGTCTTCCATTATCCAAAGCAAAAGGACCTGCCTTGTTTTCTGTCTGCATAATACAATGAATTTTCCATTCTTGGTCATCATGCAAGAAAAGGGGCGGGAAAGATGGTAAAAAGCAGGATGCACATCATATGTATGCGTAAGACTGAATATTTAAATGTCTAAATCACACTTTCAACCCATTTTTGAAGTGTCCAAGTGTTGGGTCCTGTTGAAGCTCAACATAATCACTTGAAGGCCCTCCCCAATGACATCTGAGCATATGCGTATACATGAATAGAAACATTTGTGCTAGGATGAACATCAGTGAAGTACCCCTCCAAGCTGTTAATGTACTGCCCTTAAAAATACTGATATGATAATCCCTAACAAGGTGAAAGGGATGGACCAGATGGCTAACTTAACTTAAACAGCTTTTCAATGGATCATTAATACTGATGAGGATGGTGAGTGGTGAGGGGAGAATGACTCAATCTACAGGCAAGATGAAGACATTTGGAAAGTGAGGCACCAGCAATATACATACTCGCTTTAAAACTATACTAACACAGTATGAAAATACTAACATGTAAAATAAAATTATAGTCCTCAAATCGAAAAATAATTCAGAACCTGATGTTTACAAAACATTAATTACTTTCTTTGAAGTAATTGGATTTTGACATCTGATTCTGCAGGAAACCCAATTACTACCATTTATAAAGCAGAGGTAGCCAAACTATGGGGACTGAAGACTTTCCAATATTTTTTAGGTGCTTGAGGATATTATTGTGAGTGATGATTTTATGTCCTTTTTTGTGGAGGTTTCTTCAATTATTTAAAATAATTTTTACAGCACGTGAATCTTATCCATTAGCTTGCATAACATTTTTACTTTAGATAACAAACATTATCAACATCACAATCCAATTTGAGATGACTGTCCAAGGCAACTATGCCCAAGATGCCATTCAGTTGTTCTAATCTCAAAAGAAAAAATGAGATTCATATAATGTACTGAACGTTTTGGTGAGCACTGTGCCTTGCATCTGCTTGGACAACATTGATGACCAGATTAGGAAGTCATCCAAGCAGGGGATTATGTGAAATCCAGGATTTCTTGTTTTGTTGGGGAATTTGGAGGAAGAATTTACTTGAGTTATTCAATTCAGCTACATAAACCAACTTGCTGGTTCTTCTTGTAGCTATTTGAAGTCTAGAGGTATTTTCAAGAGAGATTTATTTTCATGATGGAAGGTCAAGCCAAAAAGAAACTTCCATTAAAAGGACAAGGAGAAGCATCATGAACATATACACAGGCAGTGAACAGAAGTTACTTAAACTAATTTTTATCTAAAATAAAATAGCTAAGGAAATTTCCCACTCTAAGGAGTCTTATTTTTTGAGTAAAACCTCTAAGCAAATATGTTCAAATCACATTGTTCCAGTCAAGGTTCATCAGGAGGACTTATGAAGTCTTATGAAGCTGTATTTAGGCTCTAAGCTGTATTAAGGGCCTTGAGAGAGAATGGAAAAACTGACCTATATTATAAGACATCAGACAATTCCCCACAAATACTTAATTGTAGGCAGTATCCTAAGCATTTTAATGCATTTTTAAAATATTAAACTATGGCTGACCAGTAGTTTAAAAGCTTAATAAACAGTATTAGTATCATGTGCTATGTATCTTGATTTCCATTATATTTAGTACTGCAAACTGTTCATTATTTTTTGTATATTTGTTCATACTATTATCAAGTATGTTTAGTGAATGAAGTAGCTAAATAAATAAGCATCATGACTGAAGATTTATAGCATTTTCTTGAGAACAAGTTTTCTGGGAAGTTGCTGAAAGATAACTATCATTAACTATAGGCCTTCCTTTAAGGAAGGAAGGAAATTAAACCAAAAGCTTAGCTTACCACTTTTGAGAATAATTCAAGCTGCTGAGCCCATGGAAACATGTTATTAATCAGAGTTACAGAAAACTGAAAGGATTAAATCTTTTAAAATTATTAAATCAATTAAAATTATGGAATCTAGTACTACAAGACTATGGTGATGGCCACCTATTATTAAAAGAGATTAGAATTATTCATAGTGGTGGCTACTATTCATGATGGCACTGAATTACCTCTATCAGTACTCTTAAAATCAATTTCCAGAGGCCATGTGTTTCGGGCTTTCCACATAAATCTGGATGGCCACTGTGGGAACAGAATGGTATATCGGATAGGTCTTCGCTTTGATGCAACATGGCTATTCTTTCTGTCCTAAATTTGGATCTTACTGTTGTGATTAATCATATGGAGAGCAGGTAAGGAGTAGAAGGTGCCAAAAATCCTACTTATAACCTTACACAGGCTAAAAGCTGGATGTGAAGAAAAGGCTACTGAGGAAAGGCACCTTTTAAATTCCCCTCAACCCAAAGTAGATATATCTAAGATGGCAAAACCTCTACATTACCCCAAATGCAAACAGCTACTGTCCTGAGAGATCTTCTACAAACTACAACAAAAATATTATTTGTTTCCTGGACCTACAGCCAGAAAGTTATGTGAAATTGAAGAAACCTTGAGAGTTGTGTGAAGTGCTTTGCTTCTTTGACATTTCCTATAATGGAAGTAGAGAAGACAGAATGCGTAATAGAAGTGAGCTAAGAGGCAGCCCTAAAACTTCCGCAGCAAATGAGACAACTATGATTGGGCTATTCCTCAGATAGCTACACTCTGTGTATGAAAGAAAATCTGCAATGAAAAATTAAAAATCCTAGTTTCATTCTAAACCCAAAATTGGAAACAGCAAAGAGACCCTGCTTTTCTTGAAGACAGACACACAAATGATTATTTGAGGCATATCCTACCCAGAAGGAATGTACTGCTAGCCATGTCTTTGACTAGAAGATACATTTGCTCTTTTTCCTTGCTTGCTCTCCTGGCTTATGACTGAGAATCATCTTTAATAGCAAAGCACCAAGGCTTGTTATTTAACAGGGTTTTTTTCCTACTTTTAAAGGAGAAAATTTGTGGGATTAATGTTCCAATTTAGGAGTGTATGACAGAAGTCATAAAGCATACTTCATCAATTTAGTATTAGAGATTATTTCTTCTTACCTTCAATATCTGAAATGATTAACATTTGAGGCTGTGAGAGACCTTCCTGGAGGCTATAGAAATGGATTGTGCTGTCAAATGTTATGAAGCCTATTTTTGTTCTAGTATTCCCTGGGAGTCTGAAAATGAAGCACAGAAACTTAGCACCAGGCATTAAATACATAAAGTGTGCACATTTAAGTCGAACAGATATATTTTCATAAAATAACACTTCATGTAATATGTTAAATAACTTAATGTAGGTAAATATATTATTCTTCCATAAACAGCTATCAAGCTCACATTCAGATTGGTTCATTGTTAAATTTTCAAAGCACTGGAGTAGAACTTTATGGTGACAATAGGATGACAAAAAATAGAAAGTCACAGAATGTTCCTTTTTAAGAAAAAAAAAATTGACCAAGGAGAGACATTCTGGAATGGAGAGAAATTACTTTACATTCATTACAGGAGAAGACATTTTATATGTTTCTTACAAATATTGCAAAATACAGAGGTCCCTAAGCAAATTGTCCTTTCAGAGTATATACACACATTCCTTACAGAATATACTTCAGCTTAACACTTTGAAAGCTAGTATGAGAATACAAGCAGCCAAAGTTCTTCAATTGTTTTTAAAAGAAACATTACTATAAAATATCTTTGCAAATATTCTGTAGTATAAAGATAGAGCGGTATAAAGATAGAGCTACAGAACAAGTCTTTCAGCAATTCACATAAATTTGATGCCTACATTTTCATAATAGCTATATACAAGATAAATATTATCAGCATGGAGCTTCAAATTGCATTACACAGAAACTGCGATTTATCTGAAGCTGATGCAATGGACTTTGCATGCACCAGATGGAATTTTCTGCATCATGTCTTCACTGAATACACTGAGTCATCATTCACTGTCTTCATTGGAAAAAAAATAAATACATGAAATTTTAGAGACACTAACTGCTTGCACCTCCTTTAGCAGCACTAATTTCAACTAAAACATTTTCTCTACCTGTAGATCAATCCTGCACATCAACTTGTGTTTTTGCCTATTCGTTTTCACAGAATTTCTTCACCTCATTGGTATTTTTGGTTTTCTTGCATTAACCGTTTGCTTCAAGTCATGCCACAACATTTCAATTGGATTAATATCAGAGCTTTGACAAGGCCATGCCAAAATATGAAATTTCTGCTTCGGCCATTCAGTTATAGATTTAAACGACTGTTTAGGATCATTGTTTGTACTACATCACCAACATTTGTTTAGGCTTTAGCTCATGGAAGAATACTTAATATTATCCTGTAGAATTTGCTGATGTGGGCCAGAATCCATTATTTGCTCAATGACTGTGAGCCATCTGGGTCCTAAGGCTACAAAGCATCACCAAACCATGATACTGCCACCTCCATGGTTCTTGGTCAGGATGGTATTCTTTTTTTTAGAAAATAGTTTTCTTTTTTTTTCAAAGATAACATTTTTCACTAATGCAAAAAGTTCCACTTTTGTTATACTTGTTCAAAGAACCTTGTTTCAGTGGTCCACTGAATCATCCAAGTAGTCTTTGGCATACTTGAGATGGGTAGCAATGTGCTTTCTGTACAGCAATGGTTTCATTCTTGGTATCCTCCCATACACACTGTTCTTGTTCACACTTTTCCTTATGGCAGACTTATGGAACTAACATCAGACAATAAAAGAGTGGCATGCAATGTTCTGCCATTACCCTGGGATTCTTTCTGACAGCCCCCCCCCCCAACCTTTGAGTATTGTATGCCTTGCTTTTAGGGTGACTTTTGTTGGATGACTACTCCTAGAAAGACTATCAGTGCTGCATTTTATCCACATGTACACTAGCTTCCTGACAAGGACACCAAAATCTTTGGCAATGGTTTTATTGCATTTTCCAGCTTCATAAGCAACAACAGTCTTTTTTCTGGTATTCACAGACAGCACTTATGACTGGGGCACAATTCACATGCACAGACCTGGGCCATGAACAGCAGACTTCAGTGGTCACAATCAGTATGTGTTTTGGGTTTATCTTTTTTAACAATGGAGGAACACATCTGGTTGTCATCTTCTTGACTGAAATTTCTGATTCAACATCTCAAGAGGACTGATTATCCTAGGACTTCATATACTTTTTCACACAAAGACATTGAAAGTTGGCTCAGTGATCAACACACTTTTTGGGTGTTACCTGTTTAACCAGAATCTCTTTATTAAAAGATGAAGCTCAGATCACATTGTGAGTCATACTACTTGGATTACAGGTAGTTCTAAAAGGTTTACAAACTTTCATCATTGCAAATTTGTGTTAATTTATGTTATCTGTGTACTGATGTCATCATGTGAATGATCTGAACTCCTGTGCCATCCTATTTTTCAATTCAGTGAACATTCCTTAATTACAGACACCCCCTCCTCAAATATGTTACTGTAACTATAACTTTAGAGGGACATTGATACACTGAAAAGATGCAAAGGACTCACAGATCTAGATTGTCCAACAAAGTCTTGCAGACAGTGTCTAAGTATCCTGTTTCTATTGCATTATGAGACACATCAAATACAAAGAGGTACACAGGAGGCTGAGGTGGGCGTAGCTGAAAAAAATGAGACACAATTATGATCATTTAAATGTCAATCCAAGACCAGTGACTGCTTTTAGTTGGCTGTAAGGTAGTCTGCAATTTTTAATACCGTAAATATAATGCACTTATATTGTAATCCATTTATTGATTAATCTCTATTGTGAAGATGAGAAGTTTTCATTTTAGCAAGATTATTCAGCTCTTTCTGTTTTGTAACTCTTGTTACAAAATGGAAGAAAAGTCATAGTGTACCCCACAATTTTTTTTAAAAATAGCAAATGGTAGCATGGTGGATTCAGAGACTTAGAAGACTGAGGATCGCTATGAGACAGGGATATATTTATTGTAAAGCTGCAATATATTAAGGCCAACATTTCTTTCAAATCTGGGACATCTTTTGGACTTAACCTTTTTTCTGGGGCTAACACTGAGGTTTATTAAAAAGGATAAACAAACAGAATCAATTTTTCAAATTCTGCAAAAATCTTCACTTTTAAAGCATAAGAGATCATGATAAGCGCTTTACAGATGTCACCCAAACATTTCTTACTGGCAAGATCTGGCTCAAGCACATTTCATTTTTTCCTATAACATCCTGTTTTTTCTCCAGAATGGACCAAGGTATTCTGAATGGTTTGTGTATCACCTGAAACTGGAAGTGGTTTGTGAAGAATCAGACATGGTGTGGTCCAAATCCGGAACTTCTGGAAGTATACAAAATTCCAGAATACATAGATCAGCCTGTACCAGAGAAAAACCAGAACATTCTGGGAAAAAGCAATGTTCTGGAGCCAGATTGGGATGTTTCACGCATCTTTTCCATTTTAAATAAAGTATGTCTAGCAAACATCTACATTCCAACTGTGACCTGTAAGTGTAATTGGTTATATTCAACCGAGCTACCAAAGCTCTTATTTATATTTCTAAATAAAACATATATTTAACAGCCAGGATTCAACAGCTGCATGCGTTGTTTTGCTTGTTCGTGTTCAGATAGGCATGCAGAAAAAGCTGCTCTTGAAACTGAGAGACGTTTCAGAGCAGAATTCAGTATGATGTGAAAGGTTGCAGTAAAAAAGAATAGTAACTTCTCTCTCTACTGTGAGAGCCAGTGTGGCATAGAGGTTAAGGTGGTGGATTAGGAGCACAAAGACCTAGATTTTGGTCCTCCTTAGACACGGAAGCCAGTCAGGTGACTTTGGGCCAGCCATCCTCTCTCTAAGAGGCCCTGATACCCTGAAGGAAGGCAATGACAAATCACTTTCACAGTGTTGTCAGAGAAACTGCATGAACCTGTCCATGAAGTTTCCAGGAATCAAGACTGACTCAAAGGTGCTTCTCCACTGCAAGATAAACTTTTGCTTGGTGCAATGTAAGATCAATAACTTTTCCTAGAGTAGTATAGCTATATAAGCATCAACAAATAAGGGAAAATGAGATAACTAAACTTGTGGAACAAGACCCAGAGTTTTGCATGATTTGTTCTATAAGCAAGGGCACACTGCTTGACTTTTACTTTCTCATAATCTTCATAGTATCTGAAAGGGTGCTTTTGAAATTTTGGAAGCTTAAGAGCAGTTTTTAACACAGAAGGGAGCTGCTCTTAATAGTAAATAAAGAGCTTGAGGATCCAACCAATTACTTGAAAGCTCTAAGATATGGCAAAGTTTTCTGACCTCTGGGATAAATTATATCCAGTCACTTTGTCTCAACTGAAGTACTATTGTCTAGTATTTCTATAACAGCTACACAAGAATGAATAAAAGTCAAATAAAAGAAGAAAAATGCTGAGATACAGTAGTTCTGCACAAGTTGTATTTATTATGACTACAGAATGCGTAAGATGGGGCGGGGGGAGAGAATGAGAGAGAGAAAGGGGAACAAAATCTCACCATGTATTCAGAAGGAGCCATAAACTCAATGGTGGCATTTTGAACTTCAGGTCTTTTATGAGGCTCTCCATAAACTCTTGTCACAGGATTATACATAAATTCTTCAGGAACTGTAGGATGAAAAATGCCCTTTATAAACCAGCATAACTCTAAAGTTTACAGTATTTTATATAACATTTCTCAGCCTAGTAGTCTTTTAAGGAAATATTTAATCCCATATGTTCTATTACCCCGAAGCGGCTAGAGATTGATCTCATAATTATATCATACTGGAATCAAGCAGCTTGTATGTATGTATACATACACACATTCTTAAAAACTTCTTAATAAGAAGTCAACTGATGTTTTATTGGATTTAAACTCAAAGAAAACTCACCATCGTTTACTCTGTAGCACAAGTTGCATTTCCATCTCCTTTGATCAAGGAAGCTGACAAAAGGATTGATATATGTTCTACAGCTACGACATCTCACAATTGTACTGGAGGTTACCACAGGCAATTGCTGAAAAGAGGAATGCTTAAGCCACTTGTTTAAGAATACATTTGTCATCAAGTGTAATTTTGGTTCCTTCTTTTGACTTAGGACTGAATAAATACAATGGTAATGATAATAAAAATAAAGATCAGCCTTGTCATGTATGTTTGCAACAGCAATTCTGATTTCAATCTAGTACTTTTTCTATGAGCTTCTAAATTAAGAGATGGCTTTAAGGCCAGTCATGTGCCAGTGGAAGACATGGCTTTGCAGTTTTCATACTTGCAGACAACACTGAAATATTCATCTAATGATGAAGGCAGTCAGCTCTTATTTTGAAAGCAGGAAGGGAAAACTGAATGTTTAATACATCCTATAACATATTACCCATAAATGCTAATTAGACTTGGACACTTAACATATTTAGCAACATATGCTTATCCAGGTGAGGACAACCTATATAAAATGTTGTATGTCATATTCAAGCATGCATTTATGTCATGCTGGGGGTCCATTTCACCCCCATCACATTGACCTGTCCCACCCGGCAGAGTGGGCATGTTATGGACCCTGTCGGCGAGAGAATGTTGGCCAGTGGGGCCCAGGAGGAGAGCCTTTTCTGCCATTGCCCCCACCCTCTGGAATATTCTCCCCCAGAAGTGTGGCTGGTCCTTCCCTCCCAGCTTTCCAGAAAGAACTGAAGACCTGGTTCTGCCAGTTTGCGTAGGGCAAGAAGAGTTTTAACCAACCCTGGAGGTGGCTGGTGCCCTGATGACATTCCCCAAACCTTATAATTTTTAGTTACCATCAGTTATCTTGGAAGATACTTAATATTTATCTAGGATAATTTATTGAATTGTTATATTGTATTTTTAATTAATATTTATCTTTTCTGTAAACTGCCCAGAGTCATTTTTTAACGAGATGGGAGGTGACGAATTTGATATATAAATAAACATAAATAAATAAATTAAAAGGAAATACAATATAAGGAGACAAGCTAGAGTATCTGTTTAATTTGTAACAACTGACGCCCCATTTCCCACAAGGTAATTCCCTAGCCTAGTAACTCTTTATTATTTGCAAACAGCAACCATCACAGCAAATTAAAATCAGGGAAAGACAGATATTGTAGGTCCTCCCATTTTGATTAAATATTATCTTTTGAAATGCCTGACAAGATAAACATAAACACTTTGAAAGCTGTAGCACCATCAGTCAATGTTTATTTCAATCACTGTAAAGTTTCATCACTCTTCAAGCCCTGCACATACATAGATACATATAGATAGATAAAAGATATTTAAAGTATGCTGCTGCAACTGGACTCTGAAATGGCAGGTTTCACAAAATTCCACTTTTGGTAAAGTTGGCTCATCTGAATTTCTTCTAATTCTCAATTCTTCCTCTTCCTGACAGGACTTAATTCCTTATAATTGTTTGAATCAAATATCCAAATTTGTAATTGATACCAAAATCAATAAACTAAAATTCCTAAAATTTAGAGATCCATCCAAACACAATTAATCCTAGATTTGGAATTTTTATTTGTAGAAACTGCTGCAGCCAGAGTTTGCTAATTTGGCCATCACAACCGATTACATAAATCAAACAGAATTCATGGAATTAACCTCTGAGAGAATTATGGAGAATACATGCATGCAGAACTCTGTTATCATCTAGAACAGTGTTTTTCAAACTTGGCAACTCTGACATACCGATAAATCTTTGAAAGGATGAAGCAGGAGCCCCAAAGGAAGTTTGGCTTTATTCAGTAAGGCTTGAGTCTGAGGAATGTTAGTCAAGGTACACCGGAACAACCTATATGGAAGACCAAAGTTTAAAGAAGTACCAGTTACATGCATCAACCATTCCTGATCTCCACAGTCAGTTACTACTTTTTTCTCTCTTAATTTTGAAGAAAGGGGACCACCCTATATCTTATGCAGCATTCAGTTTAAGAACAAAAATAACCCATAACCAGTAACAAATGCAAAATTTTAAATGAAGTTTGTGGCACTGCATGACAGTGCTACAGTGATATATTAATTTGTAAAGTAAGTTGATACCCTACACAAACTACAAAGGGAACATTAGAAAGTAATACTACTCTTTGAAAACACACTTCTGGATCAATCTTTTATTTATGCTATTTATTCACCACCAGAATCCAAAATGGCTGTTTGTATACTGTTGGATTTCTTATATCTACAGGAAGGCTTTGATCTAACAGAATATTTCTGAAGCTAGAGTACAGGTCCATATATAATTTGAATATTCAAATAACAAAAAGCAAAAGCAAAAGCAAAAACATGAGAGAGGTCAAGTTGGGGACTAAGGATGAAGGGATGGAGAAAATGGCAAAGCTGACCTCACTTTTTCACTGCTTTGAGCCAGGATATTTTCTCATTGAGAAAAAAAAATGAATCCAATGCATATCTCTCATCAAGCCTTCCTAAATTGCTAACCAAGCATTAGATTCTGTTCATAAAAACTTAATCTAAGGGACAATTTATGAATTAGATTCATACATAAGATCATGTTTATAACAAGCATACATATATGACTAATTTCTATAATATCTGTGTTGATGGTTATAGTCACATGGATGGGCCATCCATAAATCTGTAGATAAAGGTGCTTACAGTTTTTGCAATTTGGAGGGAGGACACAGTTTATTCAATATATAGTTTTTTTGTTTTAAAAGAACAGTTACTATTAAATCAAGCATCAAAACAAGATTCCTTATATGACCATAAAAATCCACTTTACTGAAGGATTTTAACCTTCAAATGTTTAAATATATGTTTACATTTCTCAAAACTTAAAGATGCATTAGCGACATACTCACATATGGAAAAAGGGCAGATAATCTTTATTTTTTACCTAATATTTATTTTACTTCCCATTATAACAAACCAACAAAACCCTAGGACAGCCCAGTGAGTAAATTAATAAAATATTAATTTTGATTCAATCAATTAATTCAGTTCCAAGCTTGTGGTGTTGAGCGGGATATTCCCTGTAGTTGTAAGGCCACAATTTTGATGTGCCCAGATCAAGTACAAAGCTGTTGCCCCCTTGTTGGTATTGCAACTATTACCGTTTCTACCTCTTTGGGCTATGAAGTTGCTGTGAAGCTCTGCCTTGTGCAACTGACATTTCCCCAGAGCATACCCACCCAGCTGAAAAATACTATTGCACTGTAGACTGTCACTGCAGCGTAGCAGGATAATATACAAATTTAAACCTCAACGTAACTATCACATCAAACTTTACCTATCTGAAAATTGTTCACAAAAGCCCACAGGTGGTACAAATGATTAGCATACCCCATCCCAACAGAGTCAAATAAAGTCTATGTGGTTTGCTATCTCTTCTGTTCACCAATGAACTTGTAAGACTGATAGATAGCAGCCTGTTTCTTTAGGGTCTCTCCCTGCTCTCATACTTGAAAAGAGAGATTATGCCATTTTTCTAATTTTTACTTTAGCCTATAAGGCTCAAATTTAAGTTCAGCTGTTAGTTTATCATTTTAATTCCTGCAACCTCCTTACAGGAAGTATACTAGATACAACCATTTGGAATATATAGAGAGAGAACCATCTGAGCCTTTTTTTCCTCCTTTACATAGGATTAGCTGGAAACCAGTGAGAGCAAATTTGATTTTTATTCGCCAATGATAAATTTTTTTATCAAGAGTTGTATTTTTATCAAGAGTTGTGGAGACATATAAGTATTGATATAGATATATAAACATAACTAAAAACCAATGCTACTGATATTTGCTCGTTGATGAACCAAAATTACTTTCTCAGTCTAAGAAGATGCTTTTGTGAAATACACCAGAAACAATATGACACTTTAAAAACCCAGAAAGACACAAGGGAGAACCTTCAAAATACATGAAGATATTTATTCTTTTAAAAGCAGTATTAATTAACCTTACTCGGGATTGCAGTTGAGCTTCTGAATATCTTCATGCAAATTGGGAACGGGTGCCTGCAAGGGGGTTGCAGGAAGAATATTTCTATCTTGAAGAAGGTTGACAGGTCTTAATCCTTCAGGCTGAAGACTTAGTCCACCCATAGATGCAGCTAAGGTATTTGCTCCCAAGCCAGGCTACCAAAAACAGAATTTCAAATTTAACCTGTATGAAAGACATTTAAATCCATGCATAGACACCAAGGAGGATGGTGGGGTTAACACTAGTTGTAAATACATAACTGTTCATAAAGCACTTATACTAGTTCATGTATTTTATTATAAACTAGTTCACCATCCTATCAGCACCCAAAACCTATCTAGATATAAAAGTCCATATTTATCTTTTTTTAATGTATTTCAGTAATATCAGTTACGTTTGCAAGCATACATAGGAAAACTTCCTCATTTTATCTGAATAATAACTTAAGAAGTAGGTTGTGTGGAGTTCAAAATTATCCACTGACCTAAAATTATCCATTGATAATTCCAGTCCAAGTCCAACATCTTAAATACTGTAGTATACTAGCTCTAAATTAAAAGTAAATTATATTGAATTATGCAATCCTATTATGTAAACAACACTGATTATTAAACAAACTGAAGGAAATAATGAAAGCCAATGTTTGGATGAAGTGCTTTTTTTTTCAATTTCATAATGAAATTCTTAACTAAGGAGAGTGTTGCAAGAGGGATGGGATAATTTTGAAATATGTTTAAGAATCATATGAAGAGGAAAATCTAGCCAACTATAAATGTACATATCTATAAAGCATAGACTTGAGTGAGAGGATGGAGTTCACCTGAGAGGGAACATATTACACCTAATCCTTAACTCAAACTGGAGGCATATCCCCCCTTACACTATGTCTGCAACAGCAGAAAATATTTAGTAACATTTTTTTTTTTTTACTGCTGAGCTAGTCTTACTCATCAGCTTAGCTGGTTTTAACACAAGTTTTCTACCTAGAATTTAAAAAAAAGACAGGAAGGACAGAAATATAACAGATAAACTTTTAATACAACATGGGGAAATAAAAACAGTTCTTTTTCACATACAGCTATTAAATACACTCTTTCTTTTTGTAAACCAGCCAGTTTTAATCTAGTTGTAACTAGGATCCGATTAGTTACAGAATCATAGACTGGGAGGGAGGTCATGCAGGCAAACAGGTCCAACCCCTTATTGTAGAGAGGAATCCAAATCAGAATATCCCTGATGGCTGTCTAGCCTCTACTTGAGCACATCTAATGAAGGGGAATCCACCAATTCTGGATAATTGGTTCCAGTGTCAAATTATTGTTACTGTTAGGAAGTTTTTTCAAACATTCAATCTGAACCTGCCTTTCCATAACTTAAATACATTATACTATGGTTCAAGAAGCATACCACAAATATGTTCCTTCTAGAGGACTACAGCTCTATCTAGAGTAAGCATCACCTCAAATGCCAGGGTCTAGTTTGTTTGGGTTATTTTAACCAACAGCATCTTCTTCTTGTCTGGATTAATTTATTTGTTCTCTCTGTTATTCAGCCCATTATCAAGATTAAAGAAGATTCAAGGATACTGATTCAGACTCATTCCAAATAAACAGGTATTCCCTGACTACATTTCTGTGACTCTCAAACTTCAGTCATCCCTCTTCATCCTACTGTTCCCAACTGAGTGAAATACCTACATTCCTCTTGTTAGAGAAGACAGACAAAATAGCAGCACCTCTGCATTTTGTTACTTTTCAGCATTTTGCCATGTTTACTGACCAGCTGATAGAATGAGTCTTTTTGCTTCCTTTTATTTTGAAAGGAAAAACCTTTCTGATCTTTAGTTTTCCTGACATCATCTCTATAGTTTACGTGGTCATTTTCTCCTAATGTTTCTGCTATTCCTACTTCCTCAGCCAAGTCTGCCTCAAGTCTCAAGCAGTTCTTACCAGTTCTGCACATACTGTCAGGTAGACTATGACCATCCATCCAATAATTTGACAGAAACTACAGAAGAAATTATAACAGTGGTAGTGAGGATATATTTGGATATATGGATGAATGAAGGGACTTTTCCTTTAATCCATGCTCTTAGAACGATATCCTTAGGAGGTTCATCTCTGGGGTGAAAAGTATTCCCCATTCCTACTCTACACTAAAGCAAAGGCAAATCAAATGCTGGATAGAAACATCCTTTCTCATGATGGAGGCCACTGAAATGAAAAATCCATTCAGTCTATTTTCATTCACATTCCTTAAATGTGATCTTTCCCTCCACGTTATGTTTAATTACTTAGTGTGCTCTTTTATTCAACTAGACAGAATGCCTGTATCTTCAGAAATCTTACCTTTAGGCTGGTGAAGTTGGAATTGTATGGACACAGCATAAAGCCAATCATTTTCCATAATACAACCTGACTTTAGGGAAGCTGCAATATATGTTTATATATTTTGATTTGCACAACCATTCAGTAAGAACTCTAGTCCATTCTTCACCTTTAAATTATTCCTCAGGAACCATTTATTTAAGCCTTTTAACATCTTGTTCATATGCCATTATTATGTGACATGTTGCAAAAGCAGACTTCCACTTATACAATTTAAATGTCTTTCCCCTCTTCTCTCTATCCACATATTCCCCAAATCTGCTCCCAACCCGAAGATAAATGGTACATATATTGGCTAGTAGGAAAAGGGCAACTGACAGCCAATACTATCCATTCCACAATCAAAAAAAATTCCTGGGATACAATTCTATATATCCATCCAATGCATTCCCTTCAGTCTTGTCTACTTAAGAGGAAATGCAAATTTACCAAGCAGGAACTTCTATGTTTCACTGAAGCACTGAAAACAAGCAGATTTACAACTGATTTTTTAATTTTTTAAAATTTAGATCTACCACATTTTAGAAATTTAGATCTACTTCAAAACACATTTTATCAATATCAGCTCTAATATTGGAAACATTTGAGCTCTTTAACTATGGAAGAACAACTTCTACAATGTCAACAAAGCCTTTATGGAAACCTAGAAATAACCTTTTAGTAAAATAAGGAAGGATTTACCTGAGGGAATTGTTGAGGTCCTCCTGGATATTGCATTCTTGGTCCTCCAGGTAGAGAGGCATTTTGGTAGCCTGGGGGCAAGCTGGGATAAGTACTCCCAACATGTTTGTTCACTTTCATATTTTGAGGAGCAGGAGTATGTGGGGTTGCTGAAAGAATAAATGCACTGAATGGTAAACAACCTTAATATTCTAAACTTAAAAGTTATACAGCATCGTTTATACAGACAAAGCTTCACATCATGACAGATAAAAAAAATAAAAAGCCGTTTGTTATTTAAATCACATTTTAAAACTTAAATGGTTTCTAAAAAAAAAAGTATCACTCAAACTATAATCACAAACATAACTTATAATTCCCTCCACCCTGCAATAATGCCTCCTTTCATATTGCTAATGGGGGGGGAGGTAAATTAACAGGTGTCAGGTAACCAAAGTTTATCTGCAGTGCAGGTTGGAGATGGTGTGCAAGGGTATGTGGCGCAAGTCGGGAAGGGTGCATGAGAGGTGCCACACGTGTTGGGGAGTATGCATGAGGGTGTGGTGCGGGTTGGGGAGGGTATGCAGGGATGCATGAGTGGCTGGTGCAGGTGCAGAGGGGCTGGGGAGGCTGTGTGGGTTGGGGAGACTTACCCCAGTGACTTGCAATCTCCCCTGCCAGCTTCCCCATTGACTTTCTGGGGAAGCTAGCAGGGAAGGTTGCAAATGGCAATCACGTGATCATGGGGTGCTTGGCAACTAGTCTTAAGTGCAAGTGAGTTGCCAAATACCCAGATCGCAATCATGTGACCACACAGGGGGTGCTGGGATGGCCACAACTTCGTGGGCCCGTCGTAAGTCTTCTTTTTCAGCACCACTGTAACTTCGAGCAGTTGCTGAACGAATGGTCATAAGTCGAGGACTACCTGTACATGCACTCAGCAATATTAAACCAACACTGGTACTGGATGCCATCGTTAAGATTATCTGTTCTCAAATACAATAGTTTGATAATAGTCTACCTGCACTCTTTCAGTGCCATCACTGGTGACTATCATTTCAGAGTTATCTAAACATAATGTTCCACTGAAGACTTAGTATATTACTCATAACTGAAAAAAAGAAACTATCACACAAAAACAGGAACTGATAACTGTAATGAAAACTAGATTACAGCAACAAGCAATTTTTTTAAAAAAATTATTCAATTAACTTTCCTTTTCGTGTGATTACAGATAGACACTTGAAGGACATACAGGTATTCCTCACTTACCAACAGTAATTGGGACCAGGAGCTCCGTTATTAAGTGACACAGTTGTAAGACACAACATGACATAACTGTGTTGACTTACAAGAGCAGTTCCAGCAGCCCCAGTTGCTGTCATTAGGCAAATCTTATGTGGTTGCAGTGTCCCACGGTCATGTGATCGCCATTTGTGACCTCTTGCAAGCTTCCCCATTGACTTTGCTTGTCAGAAGCTGGCAATGAAGGTTGCAACTGGTGTTCATGTGATCATGGGACACTGCGATGCTGTAATGCGAGCTGGCCGCCGAGCGCCCAAATCATGATCACACTGAAACACATTAACACACCATCTGGAGGACTAAATCGAAAACTACTCTATTTTAATGGCAACTTGGGAACAACTTCATGAATAGATGGAACTATCAGGGCCAAGCACTATTCCCAGTTACTTCTCTGGCAATATTCTCAATAGCAGCCAGATGGATCCTTAATTTGGGATTTCAAATATGAGAGACAATTTTTTTTGCTTCACCTGTATTTTTATGGTCAAAGTCTGTTTCTGAAGTAATCCAGCCAATGCTCAAATCTGCAGATTTGCTAGCATTATTTCTTTCTGTGTATGTATTAGCTTTCTTTTGTATGGTGTTCTGGCAGTCTTGGCACTGTTTTTAATCTTGGAGTGCTGATAACATGGTTTCAAAGTTTCATAAAGATTCTAAGTAGGATCACAGAGTGCTCAAGCATGCAGTTCACCAGTAGGCAGAAAAATGGTGGGTAGGAAAAGACAAAACAAATTTAACCATGCATTAAAAACAGACTTCTTAGGTAACTTGGACTAAGGGGTGACTACTGCATATGTTTAGGAAGAGTAAGGCAAACTGGGTCCAATATTCACAAAGCCAAAGGAAAGTTGAAGAACTACAGCGCATTCGGAAAGTATTCAGACCCCCTTCACTTTTTTCAATTTTGTTATGTTGCAG